GATTCAGCACCTGATTTAATCTGAGTGTATTTTTATCCGGTGACCAGAGGAATTCTTTGCGGTGCCGCCTACAAGTGTTTTTAATTATGACGAGCCGTCAGTGAGAGTCTGTAATGATCGCTCGGTCGGGATTGATGGACTCCTCAGCGACGCATCATTAGCCGTCTGCAGGACGCGATTCCCTGAATGGTTTCTGTCCACAAAGAACCCACACATCAGTCTGAGGAGCTGCATCGATGAATCACGGAAACACGCATCCAGCAAAGTGGAGCGTTTCTTTATTACTTTAACAGCCAGGAATGAAAATAACAATGTGGGACTCGGACCAACGACATCAGTCACAGAACATCAACAACAACAAGCTTTCTGAAACTAGTCGCTGAGAGCTCCATCGTTTATTTCCTCAGTGGATTATTAAAAATGTCATCCTGAAACATGTCCGGCAATGTTTCCCAAAGCTCAGCGCAGCACCTTGAGTTTTCCACAACCCAAAGATGTTCAGTCAGCCATCACAGAAGAGGAGAGAAACCAGGAAATACTCAGATTTAAGAAGCCGGAATCAAAGAATTCAGACTTTTCTTCCTTTAGAAAGATTTACTCAAAGCAGTTAATTGAATATCAAAGTATTTGGTGATTAATTTAATCGTTGACAGCTGAACAATTAATCACTTATTTAGTGAAGCAGCTGGATTTAAAGCAACATGTGAAAGTGAAAGTAAAGCGAGTGTCAGTCGGCGAACGATTCAGTTTCCTGGTTTGTTTCTGCCGTCGTCTCCAGAAGTCTTGTGGAGACTCACAAGACAGCTTCACTCTTTAGGATTTTATTTCACGGCACCAAAAATGTGTCACTTTTCAAAGAAGATGGAGGAAGATGATCCTTCAGTCGTCTCACAGCAAGAGAGAGGTGCAGAAACAGAAGGAACATGAGCGAAATAATCAGAATAAACTAGAAATACACGTAAAGTAGCGTCTTCTATGTGTGAACATCGTGTTACTCTTTAACAACCTGCTTTTTTATTTACATAAAAATCTTGTGTGTCTCCGATATTGCGATTTGAACATATATAAAATACATCCTTAAAGTCAAACTTCAGCTTTCACACGAGCATCACAGCATGAGACAGCATCACAAAACCATCGACTGTTTTTCAACCTGCTGCAAAACGCTCGAGATGTTAAATAATGAAACTGTGCCGATGTCGTTGTAAACGCTGGTCAACGGGCTGCATAAACAACTCTCAGTTCTAGACTTTGCACTTTGCTAATTGCATTGTTTTAATTTATGGTTCCCTCTGCCTACCGTCCGCTACATGAACACAACACAACCCCCACTTCTGCACACGTTTAACAATATCGTCTGTTTTCATGTTAAATGAAGCCACCTCCACGGAGTCGTACCGGTGGATTTGGTCTCATGTGAAGAGCTTTCTAACCGACCCGTGCTTGTTGTCCTGCAGACCTGGCCGCCCTTCCTCTGGTGAAGTTCGACTTCTCCTGTAACAAGGTGTCCACCATCCCGGTGTGCTACAGGAAGATGAAGCAGCTCCAGTCGCTCCAGCTAGAAAACAACCCGCTGCAGAGTCCACCTGCACAGGTACCAGAGCACACCTGTCTCCTGCACACACACACACACACACACCACCATTCTTAGCGGCCATGTTTTCTTTTCCCTTACAGACTGATTCATGCTGCAAAATATGCAGAACACACTTGGGACTTAATCTTAATGAGACGCTGTGATGTAACTGTGCTGAGGATTGTGGGTCAGAAAAGCCAGAAATGACCAGAAGAAGCTGCGTGCTGCAAATTCCAGCCGCTTATAGTACATCGAGTATTTCTACTTTATAATATGGCAGCTGGAATGCATCCACTGAGTACAGTTCTGAAGGCAGCAGAGGTTTGCTATGAGTAAAAAAAAACGAGATGATTTCAATCAAATGTTCCTCCTCCATTGATATTTCTATGAAAAACCTCAAGACAGACACATTTTCAGTGGATTTTGGCAGCTTTAATGGTCCTAATATGTCATATTTATTTTAATTTTAGAACTTGATCCTACCCTCTTTTGCCTGTTTTACATCATGTTGTTTTTACTACTTTTTTTATTGCATATTGTATTTTTATCTCGTCTATCTGCACAACA